CATAAGCTGGGGGAGAGTAATGGTTTGGAACTTGTTAAGAAGATTAGTCCTTTAGAAACTCGAGCATTGGCTTGGGATGAAGCGGAGCGTGCCAAATATATGGCCAGGTGAACATTCTAAATACATCTTCTTTGAACTACATTATGATATTCATTCACTGATAAAAACAGAAGGATTTAACTGTTATCATTCTGGTTGATTTATAGGTATAAACGAGAAGAAGTGAGGATACAAGCCTGGGAAAATCACGAGAAGAGAAAAGCCGAAATGGAGAAGAAGAAATTAGAGGTAATCTACTCATCTAAGATGCTTTGAACTTCTTATATCAAATACTTGTATACTCTATCTGTCCAAAATTGTGTACTTACAAGAGTGATGATGAGGGTGATAATAGAAATAGAGTAACTATCATAAAGGGTAAGCAGATAACATCATGTTACATTGTTAACTGGGAGAGGTCTGTATAATGTGAACTGCTGACGTTGGGAATACATCTTAAAGCTTCTGCTGTTGTTGATCTTCAACTCTTCACAGCAGATTAGTCTTCACGGTGAATACGCCTAAAATTGATTCAACGAGCTTGTAATAGTGGCATCTAGTGGAGTTGCTAGCCTAGATAATATGCACTGTGTGCCTTTACACCATTTGTCCTCACACACAAAACTCTGGCATCACAGCTTACAAGCCAAAACTGTGCAGCCTCACGTAATGTATTGTTGTTCTGCTGGTTTATTACCTGATGCTGTGATACACATAGCGGCTTCTCCTAAATTCAATTTTCTGCATAATTTGTGAAGATAGTATTAGATTGATAGATCTTCTGAAATTAGGATATGCTCCCTATATTTATAGATTAGGCTTATGAAGTAAGCAGACAGCTTAAGAAGCAATTTTCTTCCACATGTTTGCACACATGAATCACATTGGCACTAAGGATCACTGAATTTTATATTGCTGTCATAGGTGAAAGCAGAGAGATTGAAAGCTAGAGCACAGGAGAAGTATGCCAATAAACTTGCTGCAGCTCGGAGAATCGCTGAAGAGAAGCGTGCTAATGCAGAGGCTAAATTGAATGAGAAAGCCGTCAAGACATCAGAGAAAGCAGATTATATCAGAAGAATGGGTCACTTGCCGTCTACATTCTCCTTTAAGCTGCCTTCTTTGTGCTGGCAGTAGTAAACTTCCTCAACATAATTCTATCTAGATACCGGTCTTATCGTTTGTTGCATTAGTAAGCTTTTGCACTTTTTTCCTTTCAGTTTATGCATGTGACAGTGACACCCTTGAAATGTTGATCAATCCTGAAAGTAAAGGAAGATGAGTTTTGCATGCAAGGCAACAACCCTCATCTATGGATCAGATTTTAACATTGTAGATGCCATGGCGACGAAATGTAGAACTATGAACTGGTGCTTGAATGTAACTAGGATTACTCCCCACCCCCTTTGGTGGTTGCAGCAATATGCGCCAATTTGTTCCGAACCCACATATAGTTGAAGTTCGGCCTGCATGAGTAAAATGAGTTCCTCTATTATTAAAGCTAATTTCAGGTTTTGACCAAATAATAGATAGCATTACATACATTTTGACTGGAGATTTTTTATGCATGTGTGCCATATTGCACTGTTTTGGGTACTGTTGGGGTGTACCATATATGCATTGATTTTGACATGTTAGTGCAAATTGGGGGGAGTTAGATTGAAATTTCGCTTCACTTGGACTTTTTAAAGATGGACAACTCAAAACAAAGTTTATTACGGAGTATCATAACTTTCAAGTGAAATCCTAACAAGTGGTTTAAAAGTTCTTAGACTCTGATGGCCAAAAATCAACTACTTTGACTAATGTAGAGCGTTGTGTCATGGGACGAACGTAGATTGCCCGTTGGCGCTTGAATCCCCGAGGCTTAATCCAAGCCAGTCTTTTTCATACGCGCAACAAGCTAGTTAACAGAGGAAACAACACGCAATGACACTAATCCTGTACCACAAACACATGCATCGATAAGGCACAAAAGCATAGGGAGGTTGCCTCATATGGGACTTGTTGTGCCAAGGCATCGGAAAAACTGTCAGCACATGACAGTTGGCTCCATAAATCTGCTAGATTGGTTGCTTGCTAAAAAGTTACTACTATTTAATGAGCTTGTTGCTATGCTAAGCTTAACCCTCTAGTTTCTAAAAAACTGGAATTGGGCCTTTGTCCTAAAGATACTAAAATTAACCCCCTTTCCCGTCAGAATTCTACTATGGAGTATATTCGAATACTTATGTGTCATTTTGCATATTCAAATAATACAAAAAGCTTCAAATGGTTTGACTAGTTGGTTGTATACTTTGTTTGTAGACTTTTTGTACTAGTTGATTGAATAAGTCGGTTGTATTAGCTGGTTTGATTGGTTGATATATAGCCTAATATTGGTTTTTATTTGAAACCAATAGTGGAACTTGAATTGAACATTAGTATGACTTATATTGTTAGACAAAGAGAGGAAAGAGATAAAAGAAAGTGTGGATGTGTGAATAAGAAGCCGACTAGGGAATGTGCAAAAAGAAAAGGGAAAATAAAGGGAGTGTTTATCGTGACGTGAACTAGTAGTACACGACTCATACTTGAGCTTAATTTTAGGGTTCCTATAGACTTTTGTTGAACTTTAAAATATGTAAAGGTTATAAGATTTGTTTATAAATCTTGATCTTGCTAATAGTATTTAAGCAGCAAACTTTATGTATGTTGTACTTCCTTTGGTTTAAAAATTCATCACTTTTTATATATACGTTTCATTATAAATGCATCACTTTCCTTTTTAATTAATAAATTCTCTAAATCTCTCTCACGTCACATGGCTTTTTTTTCCTTTCTTTCTCATTTGCTGCCACCACGAACACCCATCCCATTCATTCAACCACCACCAACACCCACTCGTTACTACGAACATCCATCCCATGCAACCTCCAACAACACGCACCTTTTCTCAACACCACCCCGCCACCATCAACGTCCACCAAGTCAACCACCACCACCCTCTCTCTGAAATCCAGTACCACTCACCCTCCCTCTCCCGAAACCACCACCACTTGCCCTCCCTTTCCTTGAACCACCACCACCTACCTAAGAATATGGAAAAAAAATAGATTTTTTTTTTATCAAATTTGATCATAAAAACACCACCCTTAAGCTTTGATGGTGTTGATGAAACCAAAAAAAAAAAAAAAAAAAAAAGAAGAAAGGAGGGAGCTGACAACGACACGTGAACCTCCAATGATCGAGTGTTATGGGGTGACTCCTTGACGAGGAGGGGCGCGCGGTGACGACTTTATGGGGGAGGAGGAACACTGGCGGAGCCAATGTGGGATAATGAGGGACAACTGTCCCCCCATTTCCCAAAAAAAAAATTAGTTTAAATGTAATAATATTGTGCTTAAAATGTTAGACCAAAGGAGTTGGCGTAGCAGTAAGATGCATGAGCTTTAGAGTTGTGATTTATGGACTAGAGTTTGAAGCTTACTGCAGGCATTTTACATTCTTTTTTCCCCTTTAGACCAGATTAATTGATTCTTCTTAATTATTACAATGATTATATGTTTATTATTGCATCAAGTCTTTGTTTTATTGATTAATCACAATCATAACAAGGAGAGATATCTTTGAATGATTGTTGAACTACAAATCACGTATTTCTTAACCTGAATACTATATTTCTCGAGTTAAAATCTATATTATCCTATGAAATTTCATCATCATCCCCCTTATTTAGTCACATTTTTTTTAATTACATCTAAACAAGTCTTAGGTAGTCCGTCCTAATTTATCTTGAAACATACTTTACAATACATATAGTGATGCAGTTTTGTACATAATTTTTCTCTTTAACGAATGTAGTATGATGCTAATTGTATAGATTGTAGATGAAATTCGATATTCTAATGTTTGCTTGGGTGTATTCTGAATACATAAGCACTTCAATCGAATCAAAGAGTATAGCATTACTTCAATTTATTTCTTAACAATTATTACTCCATATACGTATTTGAATCATTGTAATTGTAGTTTTGCATGAACATTACCTCAAATTACGATTGTAATAGGTAATTATGACAAGTACTACATTTAAATAGTTATATTATTTATTGTTCGAAATTTTCAAATTATGAACCCCTAATCTACGTTTATGGAGGAAAACTTGGTATATGATGTTGATTTTGACTAAGTACTCCGTATTTTATATTTTTGAGTTGTAAACTTTAACTATTTAAGTATTTTTTTTTGCTTCAATGTTTTTGTCAAATTAAGCGATGTTCATTTGTCCCCCCGATTTGAAATTCCTGGCTCCCCACTGTGGAGGAAGTGGCATCAACTAGATCTGACGAGGAAACAGTGGTGGTGGTTATAAGGGAGCGGAGAGAAAATATAGTTGTGGTGAGGTGGTTATGAGAGAAGAGAGAGAAAAGTGGTGGTGAGGGTGGTTTGAGAGATAGGAGAGAAAAAATGTGGTGGTGTGGGTGTTGGATGTGGTTGTGAGGTTGGAGAGAGAATGTAGGTTAGGGTTTTATTGAGGGTGATTTAGTTAAGTTAATAACTTAATAACATGTGATTTAATGTGTTAATTGAATTGGAGTAAGGGTTTGTTGGTATATTTACTCAAGAAAAGTTACTATAAAAGGAATTTTTTTTTTTGTAGCACATAACTTGTAACATCTGTTTTTGGCAATAATTGCACAAAATAAGAAACGAAGGTAGGATATTTTAAGGTAGGGAGTGTTGCCTTAACCTAATCTCAACTTTTACCCCTTTTTTTGTTCAATTTACTAGATAAGATACTTAAAGTACGACGTATTGCGTAAGGTAAGCAAACCCAACCTCCAAATACTCTCACTTGCAATGACTCTCAAAACCCGAAAGACAATATCAATATCAACATACTTTTTTTTATTTCAACATACTTCAATCCAATAGTCGGGATTACTATAGGAAAAACCGCAAAATAAATAAAACCTAAAAAAAAACGAATGAAAGCAATAATTGGAGGATTCATCGATCGATCCATAATCCTCTTGAGTAAGGTAAGGTTGGGAAGCAATCACACTTTCACAGAAGAAGCGTAGACTCACACTATACGGTGACATCCTTCGCTTTTTTTCTCTCCTCTTCTCCCCCAAATAAGTCTCTCTCTCTCTACTTCATTCTATCTTCCCCTTTTTCTCTCTCTTCCGTAGTTTCGCCGCCCTTTCTCTCTCCTCCTCCGGTAAACCCTTAATTTCTTCATCACTCTTCCATTCTATCTTCTTCGATTTTCAGATTTTGATGATTTTCTTCTAGGGTTTCTATTTCCTCAATTTCGATTTCTAGGGTTTTTTTTTATTAAACAGAAATTTCGCACTTTTTGGTATTGATTTGAATTCATTGCTCGACGAACGACTTTTCAAGCTTCGGAGCTGACGAATTTGCTGATAAAGGTCCGCCTTTGCTATTAATTGCTCCTTTTTTCTTTTCTTTTTTTGTGATTCTTTGTTTTCTTGTTGAGTTTCGATTTATTTTCTCAGATCTGTGTGAGTGCAAGTTGGTGTAATTTTTGATTTCTAGGGTTTTTGTTTTAGGAAGTTCAATTTGGTTATGTTCATCTAAAGCACAAAAAATAAAAAAAAATTGTTTCTTTGTGTGTTCGCCTTTGAATTGCTGGTCGGCTGAAGGTATATAATTAGGGTTATTGTGGGTTAGGTTGTAATTGAGATTGTTTTCCGAGTAAAGGATTTCTTTGCTTGAATTTATGGCTGCTGGAAGGAATGGGGGGTACCACGAAACTGAATTTAAGGATCGCAGCTCGGATTATGATACCGCGAGGCGAGATATAGCTTATTCAAAAGGTGAATATGATAAAATTAGGAATGGTAATCAGGTTAGGGATCGGGAGATAATTAGGGGTAGAGACAGTAGAGCTAGGGTTAGACAGAGAGATATTAGGGAAAGGGACTTTGCTAATGGTGGTGATTATCGCTCGTCTTCAAGTAAAAGTGATTCAGGGGGAAGTGGGGTTGGTGGTGGTGGAGGGGGAGGAGGGCCTAGGAGATGTGGGAATTCTGCTAGGATTACGGATCGTGAGCCTGGTGAATTGTCTAGTGAGGATGGGTCTGAGAGTGCTGTCGATTCAGAATCACGGTTTGGAAAGGATAATGAAGTGTCGAAGATGGATAATGGGGCTCAGTCCTCTCCTCTGGCTACTAAGAAAAGAAAGTTTTCTCCTATAGTATGGGATAGAGATGACAAGGGTGCTACAGATGCATCAAGAAGTAGATCTGTATCCACTACTGCTTCCCTTCCTCCCCAACCTGTCCGTAAATCATACCAGCAGTCTCCTGCCACGGTGCCTATCGATAGTAAGGAGGTATCTCCTGTTAAAAGTGATGAGCCACATGAAGCCATTGAAGTTTCTCTTGTTGATCCCTCTATTGAACAGGATCGTTTATATGATAATGTATCCGAGTCTCCTGCAAATCATCGTTCCTCACCATCTCAGGAGAGACAGTGGGGGAATGGCGAAGGGGCTGAGCAGGTAGAAGATGAGGACTACATTCCCACCAGGCACATATCAGCCTCAAGGTGGGCAGGTAATGCTAATTCCCCTGCTGATGAAGGTGAAATTTCAGATGACGATATAATGCGAAAAAGAAGGAAGAAGATGCCTTCCTCTGATTTTCTAGATACTAGGAGGAGCAGGAAGTCATCTAGTCCAGATGCTGGAGATGGTGCAAGGGAGGTTTCTGACATAGTTAAGGGAAGATTATCGGATTCTGATGGAAGCATGCAAAGTAGACCTTCCACTGGAGATCGTGATCTTCAAAATGATAAAGATAGGGCGGATAATATGGAGGTAGATGATAGATACAATGACACTGACTCTAGCCTTAGCCCCAGAAGAGCCGACTCTGAAGATGAAGATTATTCTCGTGAAACACCTGAACCCCCTGTTGCTCCTAAAAGAACAGTGAATATGCTTCAGGGTTGTAGGAGTGTGGATGAGTTTGAAAGACTGAATAAGATAGACGAAGGAACTTATGGTGTAGTTTACAGAGCTAGAGATAAGAAGACTGGAGAAATTGTAGCTTTAAAAAAGGTAAAGATGGAGAAGGAAAGGGAAGGCTTTCCATTGACTTCTCTGAGGGAAATTAACATTCTTTTGTCATTGCACCACCCGTCAATTGTTGATGTCAAGGAAGTAGTAGTTGGAAGCAACCTTGATAGTATCTTTATGGTTATGGAATACATGGAGCATGATCTTAAAGCGCTTATGGAGACTATGAAACAGCCATTTAGTCAGAGTGAAGTTAAATGCCTCATGCTTCAGTTATTAGACGGTATAAAGTATCTTCATGATAATTGGGTCCTTCATCGTGATTTAAAGACATCAAATTTGCTTATGAACAACCAGGGTGAGTTGAAGATATGTGACTTTGGATTGGCTCGTCAATATGGGAGTCCATTGAAGCCATATACTCATTTGGTTGTCACACTTTGGTACAGGTGAGTAGCAAAATTCTAATTCTTGTATGTTAAAAGACTGTTGATTCTTTTTTGCCTTTTGTATATATTTATTTTATTACTTTTTATTTAATTATTATATAGAGGAGAATCTCTTTTATATGCTTGTTCTTTCTATATTGTTTTGGTGGACTTATCCTCTATATTTCTCCCTCTTCTAAGATTTCAAATTTAGTGAACTATTATATTTTAAGAACATATATTATGGCTTATGAAGTAATGCTTCTTGTCTGTTCTGCTTCTGGATGCTTGTGAATATGACTTACATATGAGTATCTTGTTTCTTGTTCGCTGGTAGCAGCCAGTGTATCGATTATTGTACAGTTCAGAGCATCATTGCTTTCAGTTGTTACTCTGAGATTTTGTCTAATTAACTTATGTGCTGTTTGATCATTCTCGGTTAAGTAGTTTTTCAAAGTTTGTGAGGTTTAGATCTTCCATGACCATTGGTCATGTGCATATGGAGGGGTTAAGATCTCATTTGTTCCTCTCTTTTCGTTGGTAGGTCACCGGAGCTTCTGTTGGGTGCAAAGGAGTATTCAACAGCCATTGATATGTGGTCACTCGGTTGCATTATGGCTGAGCTCTTGTCAAAGGAGCCTCTTTTTAATGGCAAATCGGAATTCGATCAACTTGACAAGGTACATCCATTTGTTGAAAGTATGTACTTCTGAATTTGGTCTGCTTTTGATTTAGATTAGTGTAGAATTTTGCATAGCTAGGATGCCTAGGAAATAGGAATCTTGCTGGTTGCTAGGTTGTTTCTCTTTTCGACTCTTATGTAGTTATTGATATTCCTCTTTTATTTTTATTGGCAGATATTTAGGATCCTTGGCACACCAAATGAGACAATCTGGCGCGGTTTTTCCAAGTTGCCTGGAGTGAAGGTCAATTTTGTGAAGCACCAGTAAGTTCTTCGTAAACTATCACTTAAGACACATTTACCTTTGCATCAAGGTTTTCTTATTCTTTGTGCTCTTTTCCCAGGCTTCCAGCTTTGGGTGATTCTGGTCTGGCTATCTGGCCTCATTGGTACACCTGTAGTGACAAAGGCACATACTTTTGTAATGAATAACTATTCAACTGTCCTTTTCAGGTATAACCAGTTGCGCAAGAAATTTCCAGCCACGTCATTTACCGGATCTCCTGTCCTCTCTGATGCTGGATTTGACTTGTTGAACAGACTTTTAACTTATGATCCTGAAAAGGTATTTGTCATTATAGGAAGTAATAAAATATTGCTCTTTTGTTTGGTGTGCTGTAAAATTTTCTTACTGCACTCTCTATTGGCTGCAGCGTATTACAGCGGATGCTGCTTTAAACCACGAATGGTTTCATGAAGTTCCTCTTCCCAAGTCAAAGGAATTTATGCCTACGTTTCCTGCTCAACATGCACAAGATAGGTACCTTGATTATTGAAATTGCATATCTTCCCTATTGCTCATTTATTGGCTGTTATTTTTGATGTTATCCTATTTTAATATCTATGTTTATGGGACTGGCAGGCGAGTGCGCAGGGTTCTGAAGAGTCCTGATCCCTTGGAAGAGCAGCGCAGGAAGGAGTTGCAGCAAGCAGAATTGGGGACTGGCGGCTTGTTTGGGTAGTAACATAGGCCCTACTGTAGACTTGAGATTTTTATGCGCCATGAGTTTTGCCAATGCCAACAAATGGACATGCATGAGGTGAGGGAGATGGATTCAACACAACTTGCTAAAGAAAGGCTTGTGAGACTGTCATTCATGCTGTTTTTTAGCAGGCATGTTTGATGAAACGACTGGAGGGATATATTTTTTGCCTTATGCCACAAGATCTGTAGCAGTCGTGATATTTTCCAGCTTTGGTGATAGGATGCATCACAACAGTGCTTGCATCACAAGGTGTGGCATAATGGCTTTACTTTTTAGAAAGATGAGATTCAGCTGAATCATGTGTATGTAAAGTATTATGAATTTTTGATTTGGAACATTGTAAACATTTCTCTTAGATTATGTTTTTAATGACCAAACTACTATGGATATGTCTCAAATTTCTTTTTCTGCATGATTTAATATTGGAATTGTGTTTGCATGAGGTGGTTGGTGTAAAGCGGAGGGGACGTTCTTTGCTTTTCATTGACGAGCATTTTACAAATTAGAGAAAAGGTAATGTGCTATCTAGTATATGTGAATTTAACTGGGGCCTCGGTCTTGTAGTGCTTGTGTGGATACTTCTTGCTAAAGCACATTTGTTATCAATTGTAAATGTGTATACTGATGTACCTTATTTGTGAATTCATTCATCTGTATCTTTGGGGTCTGGTTCTGTTCCTCTTGTGTGTACATATTTGTTATGCAATTATGTTTGTGCTGTATGGTGGAGAATACTTCAGGGGAGCAATAATATGTATCTTGGGGGTGCCATGGGCTTTTCCATTCTGTTGTATGTTCTTGTGTAAATTTTATAGTCTGGATAAGCCATTTTCTGGTCCTGTACAAAGCTTAGAGGTCCCCTTCACAGATGAATGAAAATTCGACACTTCTTTTTCAGCTCTGTATTGGTTGATTTAGGAATTTGTAGTGTTATTGTTTTGTGGGAGTTATCGATTAAATTGGTATAAGTTTTGATGGTTAAGAACATCAAACCTGTTGTGATCAGTCAACCGAAGCTGACCTATGTCCTGAATGCAATTCTAGTTGTAGGATAAATATATATTGATCAAGGTCTTTCCTCCATTGCTAATGTTTGTTGGCATTTTGTTCCTTAGAAATGCAAGAAGTTAGTTCATGCGTTCCTTTGCAGCAGAAGTCAGTTTGTGTTCCAAAGTTTGGGATTAGAAGAGATTGTCTTGCAAGTTTCTCATTGTCCCTTTGCTGCTAATTTTCTTCTTTGTTTGTCTTTTGCTGCCAATTCTAGTATAGGGTCTAGATTTTTTTTTTTTTTTTTCAATCAATTTGTGGCCTATTAAATTCATGATAGCTCCTGAACTTTTATGACTTTTCTCTGCAAATGTCACTGCAGTACTAAAGCCAGCAGGTTGATGAGGTAGAAATTCCAATTGTAATTTGGTTCATCACAAAATGTATAGCTCGAGACCATTTAGAGGTACTTTACAATTCTCATGTTTCCATTTTATATATCTCTCTTGGGTAACATCTGTTTAACTTCTTTGGAGATAATGTTTAAAAAGCATCAATTCTGCTAAGGTTATGAGAATTCTTGAGAAAATGCTAATTAATTTTATGCTCTCCGAACCTTATTACAAGAGCTTTTAACCTTATTACAAGAGCTTTTAACCTTATTAGACTAGGCCTGACCAAACATTCTTATTTAAATCAAACTAGATCACACCTTACCACAAAAATCCAGACTAGGCCTGACCAAATATTCTTATTTCCTTCTTACTAAAGGTCTTCTATTGCATATTTGTAAAAATTATGATAATGAGATATTCAGAAAATACACTTTGAGGAGTTCCTAACAAGACCTCAGTTGAGATGTTTTTCTTTTAATTAGTGGCAAAATATAGTTAAAGGTCAGTAAGATTAGGAGATTAGACTAGACCAGATCAATTCAGAAAGATTCAGAAATGTACACCTTATTTCAGTTGTAGGAAACAAAGCCTAATTAGTTGCTAGTACTTTCGAGGACTATTGACAAAGTACTGTGAGTCAGTTGTTGCCTTAAGCATAGAAAGGTAGGTTTCCTGTGAGATGTGGCTCTCTACTTGTAGCTATACACGGTTAATCTAGTACCTATGTTACATATTATGTGCAACAAATGAGCTTGCACAGACTCCTAGGCAAAATTTGGTTGTGAGTGTTGAATGGAGAGAGATAGTAATGTATTTGATGAGGAGAGAGATAGAGAGAAACGACAACTTAAAAAGGAAAGAAAACATTTGTTGCGCATAATGTATAGCAACCATTTTTGGTAATTGTTGCACATAATATGAAATTGCCTTGCCTGTGTGAGAATTTTTTGTTTCTTCTTAATACTGACATGAGTTTGGAATCTAGGATAATGTCCTTGTTAGTCTTCTTTGTTTAGATGTAGTAAGGCATAACTATGGTGAGTTGATTTGATGAGGATTCTGTCTATATTGATGGTGCAAGTATATACTGGTATGTATTAAGCCATTGACAGAGCTATGTTTGGAATAGGATTTGAGAGATTGTTACATGCTATTTACATTGTTTCAGTTGGTTAGTGGTGTTTTTTTCCCATCTCCGTGCTACTTTGCCCTTTCGGTGTATGTAGCATGAAAAGCTGTGAGAAATTTAAAGGGAGAAATAATTCTACAGAGAAATAAGAACCAATATCAGTCAAAGAGACAAAGATCCCCTGATCCAAATTACTCTGAAATCTTCAAGATTTGCCTTGCTCATGATGAGTTTTCTACATTTGCTAAGATTCATAAACCCTAGGCTTGTCTACTTGCTTTTATTTCAACTCAACGGAGTTGGGAGTTTTCTACGTTTGTAATTGCTTATATCTGTTCTTTTTCATTGTTCTTCAATAAAAGTGTCATTAACTGTGAAGTAGTATGGTCTCCTTCAAATTAACCCATCCTTCTTGCTCTATATAAGAACCCTGCAATGGACAACAGGGTTCGTTAAACTTTTGCATGTTAGCAGGGCGTGTAATACCGTATCTCAGTTAGTAGCTAGATGGAATACGAGTAGTAGTTCAGACTCGCTTGTATTGGTACATTTCCGCATAGTATTTTAGACTTAGCGGAGATTGATATGCTATATTTAATGGCCGCCCTCTCTTTCCTTCAATAAAAAAATAAAATAAAAAAAACATAAGAACACTGCCATTTTCTCTTCTCCCAGCGTTAATTAGTGGATTGTGCTATGGTATCCTTTGGTTTAGTTGCTCAATGCAAGTTTTCTATCCTTCTCTGATAGCGAGAAGGTGAGAATGTGATATTTGACTCTGTCCTTTGGTTGCTGCATAATTGCTTGGGTTATGCGGTCTTTCTTCATGAGTTCAGCAAATAAAATTTCTAGCAAAGTTATGTTTGTGATTCTGTTATCATGTTTCACACTTTCACCTGATTTTTTTAATTTATGAATCATCCTTATCTATTCACAATGTTTAAATTGGTTGGTGGGGGGTTTTTTCCCTCTTCATATGTGATGATTTTTGGCTTTCGTTATTGCGTGGTTTGTTTCTTCTCAGTATGTATCACATCTGTGATTTTTTTACTGGTATGGATTGTCATTCTTTATCTGATGGACTCTTTGTACCATTTTGTGTATTGCTTAGGTTTGTTGCTATGGTTATACAATTCTTTCAATATTTATTATGAACTATACGGATAGGGTGTTTTTGCTAGTTGTCTGCTCTTCAATGCTTGGCTGTGTTGTTAAGCTTGTTAATATAAAAAAGGGTACATTCCTGGGAAATGATTTTGGCGCACCAAAAAGTGATTTAGGCACACCCATTGTGAGAGCACAATTTTCTATACCCCTCTCACATGGAGGTGTGCCAAAATCAGTTTCCTACATTCCTTGGTGCCTGTATTGATATTCTTTGTTGTCCTTTTTGCTCGCTTAAATATTTTCTGTTAAAGTAGTATTGTTTAAAAAAAAAAAAAAAAATTCTTTTCTCTTGATCCGGGTACTTAGGCATATGCTATAGACCATGGTTTACATATAGAAAGGGTAATAAACCACCATGCATCATCGGCTGAATTGTTCTTCGGCAAGAATTATTGTCTAGCTATTGTTTTCATTCCAGAAAATATGACAATTTTGTAAATTTTTTAGGCGGTTTGAAGAGGTTTGAGTGTTTAAGTGAGCCAAATGACGGGTTCTTGGTGCCTTGCAAACTCCTTCAAAACACAACCATGAAACATCTAGTACATTGTTTCTGTTTTCATGTGAAGCTTTCCTGTGCTATTAATTTGTCATGGTATCGATTTTATTAATCATGTCATTATTTATGGTGGCTTGTTTGTGTAATTTGGTTGCCATACTCCTTGTACTGTAGGTTTAAGAGCCCGGGTTCATTAGATATACTGTAAAAATAAAAGATGGAAGACAGGCAGGTGACGATCGAGTAATATAATGGCAAGGATTTCATTTTGCCAGAGTTACAGATTAAGCCCTACATCAGTGAAGTGAAGAACAAACTATTCTGTTCTATTTTTTTTCTTTTCTCCTTGCATTATTTATCATCAATATGTTGTAGTACGAAGAGCATTATTTTCTTGAGATACCTCAGCATTGATTGCTTTTCACAGGGAGTGTATTTTACAATTGAGTCAATTTCATCATTTGCAGAGAGACAGGTGCGGAAATTACGCTCTCATCGGAGAGGGGAAGTATGCCATACATATCTATTTTTCTCGTTAACCCAATGTATCAGAACTTTCGAATGTCAATTCAGACTAGGAAAGATTAGGAAAATTACCCTCGTTTGATCTACAAGTAGCATTAAGAGAAGGATATTAACCACGTTTGTCTTTTTTTTTTTTTTTTTTTTTTTTTTTTTTTTTGGTGTAGCTTTAGGTGGTTGATGGCTTGATGCAATCATACAATTAGTGTAAAAACGAGCTTGAACACTGAATATAAGTACTCGAACATTCTGCTTATATAATCCGCCATATGTGTACCTGTCTGAATTTTAAGAAGGTTCTTGAATTTTCGTTTATATGTTTTGTCAAATTTCCAAAAGTATTGAGTAGAGGATTCATAATAAGGATCTCATAACAAAAGATGCTAGTTAGATAGCACGTAGTAGTAGACCTGGCAATCCTGACTCGATCCGAATGACTCGAAACCATTGACCAACCCCAACTTGAATTAACTCGGACTGAAACTCGAACTTGACTCGACCTGAAGTGACCCGATCAGATTTAAACTTGATTGATTGACCTGAATCGACCCGACCCGAAGTGATTCAACCTGAAGTGACTTGATTTCTGAAGTGAATAGGGTGAATAGGGTGAAATGGTGAATTACTTATTTTAGGGCTTCTTTCTTTCCTAAGTGATAGGTACTCGCGATTGTTTATTTTCTTAACAATTTTACTTTATTTTTCCAACTATTTTTTTAAAGTGAACTTATTTTGGTGACCCGACCCAAACTTGACCCGATTCGAATTGACTTGACCCGAAATTGATCCGTCCCATAATTGACCCGAAAATTGGTCTTAAAAATTGGCCTGACTAGAACTTAACCCGAAGTGTTGACCTGAAAATGACCCGAAATCTGAATTGACCCGACTTGAATGACCCGTTTGCCAAGTCTACGGAGTAGTAATAAAAGTTCAGTTTAAGTTATGTTTAATGCTTAATGTTTAATTTTAGTTGTAAACTTGTAATATGACCAAATGAGTAGTGATAATGTGGTACTCCCTTCATTTTTTTTTATTTGCATAATTTTCCTTTTATAGATGTGTTTTTTTTTAAATGCATCACTTTTATATTTGGTAACTTTAAATTATATTTTTTCGTTTCTCTCTCTTACTTCAAACCCCACTCAAATTATTATATCATTTCTCTCTCTTTCATGGTCCCCACTTAAATAATAAAAATATACCACATCTGTTTTTTATTAGTTGACACATTTCCCTTTGGCTAGGGTTTGTGATTTATACGTAATGAAAAATATAATCATGTGGGGACTTGTTAGATTCGTCACGATATATATTTTCAAAGTATCAAATTTTTATAATTTTTGTTTATCGATAATTAAAGATAATAACGGTTGAATTTGTTCATTAACAAACGTGACTAAAGAAACATGTCAACTAAAAAAAATGGAGGAAGTATATCCTCACTCGTATACTTTCTCTTTCATGGTCCCCATCTTACTTTTACTACAATAGTTTGTTCACCCACTTACAATTATATTACTCTCCTAAAACTTTGTGCACTTCCAAGTGATGCAAATAAAAAAAAACGGAGGAAGTATATTATAAGGAAGTAAAGAAACCTGTTTTTGCCTTCACAAATATTTATTTCCCTATAAATAAACCAACTTATTATACAATCTGATAAATTACATGTTGAAATGAAAATAATCGTTGCAAATAATATGTAACGGATGTAGTACGTAGGTTTGATGTAACAAAAAAAAAATTATGATGTTTGAAATTGCTGAATTTTTTCTTAAAAAAAAAATAAAAATCCTCGTAAAATATTGCTGAATCAGAGATGTATAAGTCATTTTTGCTTCAAAAAAAAAAAAAAAAAAATCGACCGTTGCCTCAAAAAGACTCGTCCTAAACGTCTCAGATTCAAAATTTGTCCTTCATCTCCTTCTCTCTCTTTCTCTCTCCCCTTTTTATCAACGATTCTTCAATGGTGAGACAAGATTCAACGCAAACCCCCAAAATCAAAAACACCCCATCAAATAATTCAACCCAAATCCCAGAAAATTGCAATAATAATTTGAGTATGTTCAGCCCAAGATTCAAATCAGTTGCAGCAATGGCGGGTTGGGATGAAGAAACCCTACTTTCTACTCTTGTTGTCGAAGATACCCCTGAAAGAAACTTAAGAGACAAGAAACGTTCTGATTTACTTGTTAAATCTCCTTCTACTAGTTCTAGAAGAAAGAGAAGACGGGTTCGCCCTGGTTCGATTCCCATTGCAGTTTTTAATCTTGATGTTGATGATGAATCTTCCAACAGTAATCTTAAAGGTAGAATTTTTGAATTCTTTTTGGGTTTTGATTGGTGGGGTCGGGTGGGTTTTCAGTGAATTAGTCTTGATTCTATGTTACTCGGACTCAAGTACTCGAGTTGGTCATGGATGCGGTTAGTTTGAGAATAAATCAAGGATTTTGTCACAAATTGAAGTGTCGGGGATTTGACACGGATGCTTGGAGCAAAATGAGTAACATAGTCTAAATTGAATTTACAGAATTTTTTTCGACCAATTTCAGTGAAATTGAAGAAGGGTTAATAATAATTATTAAAATTAGAGTTATGAATTTCAATTTACTGATTATTTTGAGAATTATTTGTGATGGGTAGAAGCAGATAAGGGTAAAAGTGATTTACCAAAGAAAGTTGAAGAAAAAACCAAAGAAAAGGAGCAGGAAAATGCTGCTGCTAATTGTTCAAGTTCTTCAACACTTCCATGTATGGATCGTCTTAGAGATGAACTTTCATGTGCTGTAAGTGAGCTTAACTTTCTGATTTTGCTTGTCATTTTTTATCACCATAGTACCATGACTACCATCTTCGTTTAACGTCCTGATTAGGCGAAAACTTATGTACAACGGGTGTATTGTATACACAGATAAGTTTAGTCATTTCAATCTAATCACCTAATAGTCGACTTTATGTGATTTGGGGTGACTATGAAAGTTGTGCATATAAGAATAGTTGAGTCTTCATGAATTATATTAAATGGTGTTGCTTTCATTTATCCAGATTTGCTTGGACATATGTTATGAACCAAGCACAACTCCTTGTGGTCACAGGTAAATTTCAGAATCACGTCATAAATTTGAGAAGAATAGTCCGTAAAATTCCAATTTTTGATTGAAACATGAACTTTTGTGTTGTAGTTTTTGCAAGAACTGCTTGAAATCTGCAGCTGAAAAATGTGGCAAAAGATGTCCAAAATGTAGACAGCTGATAAGGTACTTGAACAAATCAGTGCAAACTTCATATTTCGTATTAATTAAGGTCAGATTTTGATGGGTGTTAATGTATATGATTGTTGATGAATTTTTGACAGTAATGGAAGATCCTGCACTATAAACACAGTGCTTTGGAACACTATACAGCTATTATTCCCTGCAGAAGTCGAGTCGAGGATTGCAGCAGCAGCAGCAGCCGCGAGTAGTAAAGTAAGCGATCATCGCAGAAAGAGCACTGAAAGGGTGATCAGTAGTAGTAATCAAGCTACTGACAACAGCAATCCGCGCTTGAGCAGAAGACTTAGAGTATCAAGAAGATCAGAAGAAGCTAGTTTGATCAGTAGTAGAGGAGTTCCAAACCAAGATGAAGATGCTGCATTAGCATTGAGGTTGCAGAGAGAAGAGTTCATGGATATTTATAGAAGGTCTAGCTTGGCCCGAGATAATTTGAGAGCTATGGCACGAAGAGCCATGAATCGATAGGAGCTACCCTGTTTGATCTTATATGTTCATTCTTATCGTCTCTCAGAGACATCATATAAAATTAGAAAGAGAATGATATTTTTCTCTTTAAATTGGTTTCTCATGAGTGTTTTAGCTGTTGAAATGGAATTTCGGATTCACTTTAAAAATTCTAGCTTGTTAAGACTTAATTAAATCTATTAATATTTCAACTTTATTTTTCTTGTATTTATGTAGATGTCATCTAGCTTGATTAGTTACAATCTTGAGAGTGTTTGTGAGATCAAATTTTGTCTACATCATTAACCTTTTTACAACTCTGTATACACACAAAAAAAGGGAGAAAAAAAAAGTCCGTACATATTTTAAATATCATAAATCTACATGTTCATTTAAAGATACCTTTTTATGACCAAGAAAGTCCAATTATTTTAGACAAATATTTGTGGACAATATATTCAGGGAGAGGTAGAACTTTTCCAAAAAGGCTGAAAATATACCTTAAAATATATCTAAACAAATGACATCAGATGAATATTTATAGTTACAGCATATTTTAGGTCAGCATGTTAGTTTTTTTTGGTTAAAATCAACCTTATAGTCAAATATCTGATTTCACAAATATAAACAGCTTATGCAAGAGGAGAAACAATTATGTCACAAACAGCACTCATGATCATGTTTATTCACATTCATTCATGTATACAAACTGTCACTGTTACATACTTCGTATAAGGTTACAAATGAAGAGTAATTTAATGCTTTTACTATTATTTACAAAAGAATGTACAAAATAGAATGTTACACTCGTATAATCAACAATTACGATGGCTCCGCCTTGTGCACCAAATACAGCACGTAATGGCAGTAAGAATCCCAGGAAGCGAACAAAAAAAGTTCTGAAATGACATTTGCTCTAACTGGGTTTTCAAGTATGGTGCGAGACCTTTAAACCACGCAAAAGCAATTCGACTTCAGAACACGAGATGATAGTAATTCATGGTGTACTTTAGTACCGAATGAAAAGTCAACCATCTGATGGGGAAGAGAAAACAATGGTTTGGCCCAGTACAAAAAGGACTAGTGAGAGCTCGATTGCAAATATTGTAGACAAAAGTGAACGATCCACTGTCCATCCATACAATGTGAGCCCTCCAGGATTCGTCTGCAAATACATCACTGCAATATCCACTCAGTAAAATTAACACGTTGTATGAAATAGCACTAATAGTAAACCATATAAATACAATTTCCACTATCATCTTAAATATCACAAAACAATATGAACTCAAATTTGAAACATTGGAATAAAATGGAGGGCATGTGGAGTATATAGTGAATAAAGAAGCTAACAAGGTGAACTCTTAGACTAATCTTAGTTATTCTGCTCCAGGATATATCTCTTCATTGTAAAAGACTTCACTGATCCTGGGTTTGTTCTCATTTACATCCTTATCATTTGAAGCAGTAGAAGTTGGGAATAACTAAAATTATTCCACACTTTGAATCTGTTTTTTCCTCTCATAAGAAATTAATAGCAAGTGAAAATGAAAGAATAGTCTTGCAATATGCACATACATTTTTACAATTTTTGGCCTTAGAGACAGATGTTCAAATAATTTGTCTTGACATCCTTAATTTGCGAATAGAAAACAACAAAACATTTAAGGCTTAAACATGCATCTTAGGTTTCTGGCTCACAGGTAAACCAATCTATCCAAAATACGATAAATTAAATGTTTCTAGTCTTGTAATAATGTTTTCAGAAATTATCTCTAAAGCTAATGGACTTGGATGATTTGGTAAATATGTTTTGCACCTCAAAGTTAGAATTCTGTTAGTAATTTTGTTTTCCTGCCATTCAATAGTCCAGCAAGGGTGATAACATTAACTTAACACTTAAAAAAAAAAAAGGGGTGTTGTGACAGTAGAGTATAAGATAGGTGTACTAATGAAAAAAAAAAGACTAGCCTTACCAAAAGATTGCCTCTTGTTATATGATGAAACAGAAGCAAATTGCGAATGGCTGATTATTGCATTTTCATCTAGCAAATTTGATTCACTGTCAGAATAATTTGAAGTCAATGAGCCCATCGACATTGAACGTTTTCCTGCATCAAGGGACTTGCAAGTTACTAGCGCATGCCATCTAGATGCCACTGAACCAATTGCATGAGCTCTGGAGGAAATTTTTGTACCAGCATGCAAGCAAAGAAGTGTTTCAACAACTTGAACAATAGAAGTTACCTAAAATCAGGAGCAGAAAGAAGTTAGAAACACAGAAAAGAAGGAAAGCGAGAGCAATTACAAAATGGCATAGGCAAAGACACTGAAAATCTTATTTGCTACAACAATGACCACCAATTAGTTTGGTGCCTGCTGTCGACGAGGTTTGGGAGGCCAAGAGGCATGTAGCTTTACTCCTAACTAGTTGAAACCGGAAGAAAGCTTGTTCCCAAAATAACCCACAAAAGCAATGTTCTTTCAAAGGAATATTGTAAAAATGCTGAAAGTCATTTAGAAGAAATAAGAATTTGAAAATAGGGAAAGACCACACCACTACCTAAAAGCCTATAGGGTAAAAATGATAGACAGGATCCCCTTCTGTCAGTCCGGCCCTCCCCCAAAATTTTCATCCTGGATCTATCTGTTAATTCTGCTCTCCTATTACAATCACCTTTTCACATCACTTCAATGGAGTATCTAAAAGCATCCGGTGAATATATTCAACTCAACCACACCTTGTTTCCTGCCACTTGCATTAAGTAAAATTCACACAATTATCTCTAATCACTCTTGATTTCACTTTTCTATAAAATCCTCGTTTTTAACACTCTGCAACCTTTATTTACGAACTTCAGCTTATACATACAACTATGCCACAAGTCTGAAATGCATCTTGTAGCATACAACTTTGAGAACTTCATAGCTCCTTGATGTCAACAACCTAGCCCTACTTCTATGTCTGTAAGATCATCGATCAATGATACAAAAAAGATTCAGTATATCATCCATCCCAATCATCATACAAAGCAATGAGGCATTTCCGTTATCAATGGCTTCACCAAAGGTTTGCTGGTAAAACTAATTAATAATTAGACTCTATTACTAGTTTCAAATTGACTTTCCTTCTTAGGGTTAGATAGATTCCAGCCTTTCTCAGGATCTAGCACTAAGATAACATATAATCTGCACATTAACATGGCATACTTCAGTCAATCTCATAGTTCAGCTCTTTTTGTCACTTTTGCTCTGAGTGGGAGTTGGTTTTGGGGTGGGGGGGGGGGGGGTGGAGGCGTTTTCTTTATGATTTTTTCAGATATACAGATCATAGACCAACACACAACTATGCAAGAGAATGTGTCGAGCTCATTAATTCACCAATTCAACTTTTAATCAAAAGGTTAGGACCTGTAGAAGACGGGGCTATTTGGACCCCATTGACAATGCAACAGTAACCTGTCATCACTGTAGATATTGGGTTCTAGTATTCCGCAGCCCCTTCTCATCGATGGACAAGCTGCATGGCTCCCATACTGATTGAAGGGGAGAAGGCATAAATGCCAAACAAACCTGACCCCTATCTATCATCGTGGAAGCTGGTTTTAGGAAACAGATCCCGAGGAAAGGGACTGCCCTATAATAGGTAGGTATCAATACAAAAGAGCTTCTAAACAAAGCCTTAATGTTTGAGGTTTGCTAACAGGTTAAGTAAAAACTTCTATACATTATCAGAACATAAAACATCTAGTTTTGTTTTGCTTAAGTTAATAAAACTCATAATCTTGACAATCACACACCTTGTGATCATGCATATTATGTCATACTAGTACACCGTAACTCTTCTATAAACACTAATAATTAAATCGAAAGTGAAAAGGGAATTTGACTTACAGCAAAATTTCCACCATTTAGGAAAGTTACTCTACCGTTAATACCGGTGATCTGTATAAGAGTCATACACAGGCTAGCAGTGACGAATAGGAAGATCAAGATAAGATAAATTCGAAATCTGTGGCTGATTTTGGAGAGATACTCCCTCAATCGCATGTGCTCATCCATCAAAGTCATTATACTGGATTCGCTTTCCAAGAGTTTCGCATAATCATTGAAATGAATGACTTGCAAATTGCAGGCTAAATGAAAGAGAATGCAGGCTGCCAGTGAAATTGCACTCAGGTATGTCCAAGGTATTACTAATGCTGTGGCATTAAAACAAGCCAACCACCATGAATGGTTTTGCACGTATATCATGCGCATGATCTCATGAAGCACCTTCAAGATGCAACATGGAATCAGTGACTGTAACAGCAGTTGATATGAACCCTGAGGAAAAATGATGGCAAGATCTTATGAGGGTACATATAAAAAATGGTTAGGAACAGAGCATTGTTTGTAGCATATAAAGCGAAAAGGCCGATGTAACTATAACGAAATAATTAGTTGTAACAAATGAAGTGAAACTTGGCAATTGGCATAGTACGTACAAGATTCTATATGAAAAACCATGTAATGAGTTACTTGTACCCAAAAAAAAAAAAACCTGATATAATCTATCAGTTTGATAATAAAAGCACCAAGAGTAACCGAGATTTTCGGCTCCAGCCAAAGGTGACTTACTGACTTGTGTTCATCATTTATGATAGATAAGAATGCATTTATCCGTTAAATGTCTAATGTGCTCTTCACAAGAATAGCAGATACAAAATGTATCAAACAAGACTCTTGGTAGACCATGTCTAATATACTTGTAATGAATTGTACAGCTTTACAGTGCTGGTGATCTATACTTAAAAATTGCCTCCCAATAAATTAACTATATTACTTGGACCTAACGTAGAAGCCATTAGGAATCTAAGTCTTCCCAAACTTGCATGTAGCTACAACTGCCTAAGAGTTTCATCATTGTGACCATGAGGTCACAGCGAATCACATCTTCATTGGCAATAAATTATACTACGTATACACCAAAAGAATTGAATGTTGATTATGAAAGTAAGTGACCGTGTGCTACTACTTGAGCCTGAAACAAAGTGGTAACAGCTTATCCACTGGAGTCGGCTGGACCTTGACCTGGGTTAGATTCGTGATTGGATAGGTATCATAAAATCTGTCACTAGAAGCCAAAACAGGTTTCAGAGCACTTATAACATCAATCTCTCAAGCACACAATAAAGTATGGTAATATCACACAGAAAAAAACTTCATAAAGCCTTAGGCTTTCATAATTAACGAATCTCTTAAAATTCAACTCATTTAAATAACAAAGTGGTTTGTTTGTCCTCTATAAATACCCATTCTATAGCTTTGGACTGGTTAGAGCCAAGGTTGCATAATTTTAGACTTCTAGGCTTTGGGCCTTTGGCTAAAACTCCTGCATTACATCCACAGATATGTCGTCAGAACATTGACTTTCATTTGTCCTAAAGGTAAGCATAAGATCATCAATAATCCCAAACTTCTTAA